ATACTTGATACCATGATTCAAAGACATCAATTCTTCTCTGGTCTTCCTTACCCAAATCTTCAGCTTTCACATGCATGTGTTGTTGTAAGGTTCCGACTCGTGACCCTTTGCACAACAGAAGGAAACACTGTATGGTCCTGTGCCATCCTCACAACTGCTGCTACATTTGAGCCCATTGCTACTGCCACTGAGTGGCTTTCTAGCTGCTATTCACGTTTTCAGGTTCTGGCACTTAACCTGACAACGTTCTGCTGATATCCGTAAGGTTTTCCATGGCTAAGTCAGTAGTCTGCCTCTCCTTCTTAGACAATGTTCGTCTGGAAGCTCAGCTGAAACCTGCTCACCATGGGTGACCCTGCTGGGATTTAAAATACTGGTGGTATAGCTTCCAGCATCCCAGCAACATGCAAGTCAGAGCAGTAGGACAGACTGACAGACGAGTGGTGCCACATGCATGAGGCAGCTGACAATATACGGCCTGGGTCAAGTGCATGTTAGTCCTCAAAGGGACAACTTTGCTCTTCAGCATTTTAAAGAAGTGTTTTGCAGTAGATTTACCCAAGTCCTTTGATTTCTTGCCTGCTGCATTGATTGTACGCTCAAATAAAGGGAAATCCTTGACCACCTTAATCTTTTTTTATTATTATTATGTTGTTGTTTATCGGTCCATTTGAAGATTTTTGTTTTCTTTACATTGAATTGTAATCCATACTGAAAATGGTACTCTTTGATCTTCATCACTAAGTGTTTCAAGTCCTCTTTACTTTCAGCAAGCAAGGCTATGGCATCTGCATACTGAAGGTTAGTCTTCCTCTAAGTTTGATGCTACATTCTTCTTCATATAGTCCAGCTTCTTGAATAATTTGCTCAGCATACAAACTGAACGTTGTTGTTAAGTGCCATCGAGTCAGTTTCAACACATAGCAACCCTGTACCGGGTTTCTGAGGGCAGCTGGTGGCTTTGAACTGCTGACTTTGTGGTTCAAAGTCCCGTGCTGATCCTACATTGCCACAGCTGGAGTCCGTACAGATTGAGTAAGTATGGTGAGAGGACACAGCCCTGATGCACACCTTTCTTTTTTTTTTTTTTTTGCACACCTTTCTTGAGTTTAAACCACACAGCATTCCCTTGTTCTGCTGGAATGACTGGCTCTTGGTCAGTGTACAGGTTCCTCATGAGCACAATGAAATGATCTGGAATTCCACTCTTCACAGTGTTACCCACAGTTTGTTATGATCCACACAATTGAAGGCCTTTGCATAGTCAATAGAACATAAGTAAGCACCTTTCTGGTATTCTCTGCTTCCAGCCAAGATCCATTTGATGTCGGCATTAATTTCTCTCATTCCACATCCGCTTCTGAGTTCAGCTAGAATTTCTGGCAGCTTACTGTCAATATAATGCTGCAACTGTTTTTGAATTATCTTCAGCAAAATTTTACCTGCGTGTGTTATTAATGATGCTGTCTGATTATCTCCACACTGTTAGGTAACTTCACAGATATGGCTCTCTTCCGATCGGTTAGCCATGTAGCTGTCTTCCAAATTTCTCGGCATGGACTAGTGTTTCCAGTGCTGCATCAGTTTGTTGAAACATCTCAGTTGGTATTCCGTCAATCCCTAGAGCTTTGGTGTTTGCTAATGCCTCAGTGTGGCGTGGACTCCTTCCTTCAATACCATTGGTTACTGATCATACTGATTATCTCAGGAAATGTTGAACATCATCCAATGGTTATGCATCACTGTATTATTTTTGGTACACAACTCTGGATTTAGTCCATCTTCTTTTGATGTTTCTGGCAACATTTAATATTGTGCTCGTAGAAACCTTTAATATTGCAAGATAAAACTTGAGTCTTTTTTTTGGACAGGCTGAGCATGGCTGAGCCTGAGGCTCCCAAATCTCCCACCTGCTGCATCCCCTGTGGCTCCAGGTGCCCACCACCCTCACCTGCTTTTAATTGTGATATAGCATTGGTTCTGACTCATAGCGACCCTATACGTTTGAACCATCAGCCTGTGGTAAGCAGTTCTGTGCTGACACTGTAGCACCACACCAGGGCTCTTTACTGACTGTCCTCACTGAGTCATATCCAGGCGACTGGGACAAAGACAAGGTTCCCTGGGATAGCACCTGTGGGTGGGCTTCTAAGGAGTCCCTGGTAACGGACCACCAGTGGCACTCAGAACTCACCAAAGATAGAAAGCGACCTCTGTACCTGGTTCTCACCATCTCTTCAGCCTGCCCGCACCTCCAAACACACAGGGTCTGCAGCTCCTGAGACCACTACTATCCTGAGTCTAAACCAAACCTGCGTCTACATCCAAGGTGAGCCTCTGCTTGCAAAGCCCTCTAGTCTGCCGCTGGGCACACAGTCCCCGGGTGTCCGAGCTTGGGCACTGCCAATGCAGAGTCCTTGCTTCACCGTGAGGAACACGGGACTTCAGTACCACCTAGGGAGACAGGCTCATCTCTAGTGGCAGAAACACAGACCTTACTCGGGTAAAACACAAACGCAATGAAACCTCGGTGGAATGACTCTCATTTTGCCCACTGAAAGTTGCCCCCAGTGTTTGTAAAAACCTGCTGCAGATAGACTTCTCAGTCACCGAGACCCCTGGTTCCGGACAGCTCCTCAGAGTCCCGTACAGAGAGACCATCTATTTTTGAACTGTGGACGCAGATGGGGGCTTCAGATGTAAACATTATAAAATCAAAGGACAGAAAAAGAGACACAGGCAGGAAGCCCCAAAATGCATTGTTTTATTGCACCAAAGTCTAGGCAACATGGAGGCCCCCCAGCCCCTCACAGAGGCTCAGGGCGTCAGACACAGATCTGCACATAGACATACCAACGGGGCACTGTGTGCTGGGCACAGGGGCTGTTAAAACAGGTGGGTTAGTGAGCTCTCACAGGTGAGGGAGCCAAGGCAGGTGTCCCACGAGACCATGGTGTCCCTGTAACCCACGGCCTAAGTACAGAGTTAACATAACCCTGAATTCTAGGTGAGTCAGTGGACTCATTATAAAAGCTCAAGTTATTTATACAGATGGATTTATATACGTACACACCGCCTAGAATATATGGGTTAATTTTCTGGGTTGTGTCCCTTCCCTTCCCAGTTTGGCTAGAGGATTGTTCATGGAAGGACAGGACAGGCTTCCAGCTAATGGTGATACAATGGACGCCGCCGTCCAGTCAGCACCTGGTGGACGGCAGGTCACAGATGTTTTTCCCAGGAGAGGGGTTTACCACAGTGGACTAGAGAGAGGAAGAAGCTGACAGGAGGACATGCAATGACGGGATGGACTCTGCTGGTGGATGACGTGACGCCAAGCCTGTGGCCAGGAAAACAGTTCATCCGGGAGTATCAGCCCAGGAAGAGGACAAAAAGCCTGCCCCTGAAGGTGTTTGCCTCTGCTCCACCACAGGACATAAGGTGAGTGTGAGAGGCTCCCACCAGCCCCCCGAAAAGCCCCCTCACCTCCTGTGGAGACCGGAGTACCTAGTTCAGGCCCCAGCTAGTACAGCCTCCCACCGCCCATTCACAAGAGAAAAGATCAACGGAGCTCCCCAAGTAAAATGCAAGCCTCTCTTCAGTCTCCAGGGACTCGGCTGAGGCCCCGAGAGAGGTGCCCGAGCACTGAGGGTGGTACTACTGCCAGAAGAGGGCGCTGAGCTCCACCTCCAAGAAGAGTCACGTCTGTGTCGATGTGATACCCTCAAGAGGGAGAGCAGGGGTACAGCCCCCAGGGGCTCCTTTCCAGAACGGCAGCCACACATCTGCAGAAGGTCACTGGTCTCTCCTTTGAAAACACCAACTGAGAATTTTCCATATTTATTAACTTACAAGTTTGCAGGCACAGCTTGAGCAAGATAAAAATATCTGTGTGTGTATGTGTGTATGTATGTACGTGTGTGTACACACAGAATCCTGGTGCGGCGCTGTAGGATCAGCACTGCCCTGTGAGCCAAATGCTCGGCTCCTCGGAAACCCTACACAGGGTCACTGTGGGTGGGAACCGACTCGACAGCACTAACCCCACGCATCCAAATGCTCGGCTCCTCGGAAACCCTACACAGGGTCACTGTGGGTGGGAACCGACTCGACGGCACTAACTCCACGCATACAGACACACAGACACACAGACATCCTCTGCCACTCTTCTGGAGCGATACAATCATCTATGTCCAACGGCACCGCAGAAAGGTTGGACGGAGCCGGTACTTGCGTATTCAAGAAAGGAAACATATTGCTAATGGAAGTCGCGGCCCTGGTTAAAAATACACGTTCTATGGCGAGTAGTAAAATAAGGGATTCATCCGCCAGGCCACTGCCTCCTTAGAGACCACGGGTGATTGTAGCTGCGAGGGAAACTTGGGGGAACAGCAGTCTAAAAGGAGGATGGGTTAGCATGAGATTCAAGGCCCCCTCAAACACACAGGATGAGGGCAAGGAGCATGACAAGAGTCCCGTCCCAATTCCGGAACAGGAAGAGGGGCGGCTGGACAGACGAGGCTGCGGACACAGGGGTCTCGTGCCTGCAGCAGCTGCTCCATCAGGAGGGGACAGGGAGGGGTGGCATCCCAGCCCTGGTTCTATGCATGGGAGACGCTGCTGTCTGTGAGCAGAGCCTCTGGCTCCTTGTGGACAGAGCTGCCTGCTGCGCTCCCTCTACGGTGCTTGTAGGTGTCACAGGGGTCTCGTCTTCTCCGGCTGCCTGTGGTCAGGTATGCAAGCCCAACGCCTCGCCCTCGGGCGTCCACGGGCAGCAGTAGGCAAAGCCATGCCCGGTACCTGGGTGTGGCGACCCACCGGAGCCCCGCTAAGGCTGCTTCTTGGGTTGAGACACACGGCTCTGGAAAGTGATGTCGCGTTTCCACTGGGAGGCTGAGACACAGGATGGGAGAAATGAGAGCTCTGATGGTCCCTCAAGTGCACACGGACACTCACACGTGGCCCCTGCGCCCTCCTCACCTCCTCCAACAGCAGCCAGCTCATCGGCGGTAGCTGAGGCTGGTGGCCTTCGCTGGGTGGGTCACAGACCAGAAATTCCGTCTGCTCTGAAGTTTCTGGAAGGCGTTGCCATTTCTCCTCTTTTCTCTCCTGAATTTTTTAATTTTCTTTTCCTGAACCAAGAATCACAGTTGTCGGAGCTGCCATGGTGGTTCTGTATTGTAACTAGTTAAAGAGTGTTTATTCACTTTGACGCGCCCACTGGGCCGCCAACCAGGAGGTTGACTGGAGCCCACTGGCCACTCTATGGGAGCGGCCTCCAATGCTGTACAGGGCGCGGTCTCACTCGGTGGCAGGAGGCTGGCTTGGCGCTCTGTGCAAACAGTCCCTTCACAAAAACTGAATGCGGTCATTCACCTTAGTATCCTCTCTTTGCTGATGGAATAAGCACTTGCTCATACTCACATGACTAGTACGTGGCAGAACAGGGATTTGAACCCAGGCTAACCACATGTTGCACTTACTACAAGCTGCCTGAATGTTGTCTTGAGTTCCCCAGCCCTTGGTCCCGGGTCCTTCAGACCCACAGCCACATCTCTGCACCATACCTTCCCTCGATCGAACTCTTCATCCCAGTCATCAATCAACGTCTCAGTCCGGGCCAGTCTGCTGTCTTCAATGGCATCCCGACTGACAGCCGACATCTCACCGTCCCATGTCAAAACTACAAAAAAGACACACGGTGCTGGCACTTGTGAGGGACTCTCAGCTCCCCTGGGGATGGAGTTTACCGGCTAGACTGAACTCCTCCTGAGACTCGGCCCTCTTGGTGAGAATGGATAACCAAGGCAGAGAGCGCATGTGTAGGGGACAGTCACCTCAGAAACACAGCCCAGTGCTGTGAGCCACAAGGCACCCGCAGAGTTCTGTCTGAGTTACAGTGGCTAGGAGTTCTTCCCCTGGCGCTGCTCCCTGGGCCCCCTCTGCCGGCAGGGTCTACTGGCCGGGGAAGCAGCAGGAATGAAGACAACAAGTCTGCAGATCCCTCCCCGTTTTGAAGGCCACGTTGCTCCTGCCCCCCATGCACACCACACAGCAAGTTCACATTCTGCCGTTCCCCACCTTCAGAGTAAGCCACCCAGAGTTAAAACAAGAGCAGTCTCCAAACGGTACCTTTTCTCCCATAAGCTTTATCGGACGAGTGTTTGAGAAGCTCCTGAAGCACATCGGGCACTCCTTCTGTGTTCCAGGGCACCGGGGAGACGTGTGGCTGTCCTACAACCAGAGCAGCAGAGAACACTCATTTACGTCCGTCAACAACGGAGCCTAGACCTTGCTACCGACAGCCTGCTGGCAGGGGTGAGGGCCTCACTGTCACTTTGGAAAAGGTTGAGTATGAAACCAAGCCAGATGACAAGAACATTTTTTAAAGCATGAAGATGAGACGTGTCAGCCCCAGATCTGAGGGGGAAGACTGAGGAGACCCCCTCTCTATTATCCTCACAGACGGGCCCCCAGCTTCCTGGAGCAGCCACAGGGGAGGACTGGTCTACGATGGTGTGTGTGGACCCATCGCAAGCGTCCATTACCCAGGCCTAGCTTCTAGAGACCATTTCAGGACCAGTGGTCCCTCTCGTCCACCCACCACACTGTGCCACCCTCCCTCCTGTCCCCAACCCTGCAGCGACTCTCCTGAGCATCAGGACATGGCCACACCCCAGGCAGTAGACCCTCAGTTACCAACACCGAGAGTAAGTGGCTATGGGGACCCCCTGGGTGCTCTGTGTGGCCCCTCCTCCCTGGGTGCCCACCCATGTAACTCTCCCATGGGTGTATCGTTGGCCCTCACGCTGTCCAGGTACTCCATAACCATCCAAGACCTGTGGTCCAGCTCCACTCAGGGTCACTTTGCTTCTGTGTGGCCACACAGGCCATCTGATGGGCATGTTCCTGGCTGATGGCCCAGCAGCGGGGGTGGGGTGGGGGTGGGGGTTCCCATGGAATGCACTAAATTCCACTTTTAGCTATTCTTTAGTTTTTCTGGAGCAAACAGAAACCAGCCCGCAGGGAGGCAGAGCCTCCAGGGAGACGGGCTGCTCACCCTCCGCTCCAGACGTCACCTGCCTGGGTGTCCCCTGGTACTGGTGAGGCTGTGATGCACAGCACACGGAGTGAACCCAACAACTCACACTCAAGGGTCTCAGGGGTCCCTCCAGGAGGACCTAGACAGGGCAGCCCATGTCTCAAGTTAAAGCGGGGGTGAATGGTGGTACGTTGCTCAGGCCGGGTTTTGCTCAGCACTTTTACAGATAAACAGCTGCCACCCAATCGAGAGCAAGGATTGCCTGGGGCCAGAAAGCTGGGGGTGGGGGTGGGGGACTCAGGTTTCCCACATCATCACCTAGGCCTTTCCCACAGTGCTCCCTGCCCTATGACACAGGCGTCCACTGTTGACCAGGGTCCCCTCTTTCAGTATCACTTACCATTCAGCAGCGGTGAGTGACTGTTCAGGTCGGGGAGTGGAGAGGCCCGCTGCCCTTTGCTCGTCTGGCCTTCCTGATGTTCTGTCCCATCCACTACCTGCTGGGCCTCTCGCTTCCTCTTCTTCTTCTTCCTCTTCCTCGGACATTCTGCAGCTGTCTCTGGCTGAGCGTTATCCGAGGACAAGCAGCAGCTGTGAGGTCGGAGTCAGGGTCAGACCCCAGCAGATGGGCTGCAGGGCCACACTCACAAATAAAGACCCCCACCCACTGTCACCAAGCCTTCGAGTTGAGTCCAACTCATAGTGACCCGATGGGCTGTCAAACTGCTCCCGGAGTTCTCGAGACAGCCAGTTTTCATGGGGGTGGATGGGGGCTGGACTTGGAAGCTCATAGAACCCACAGTGATGCCTACTCACTGGCCAATGCAGGCTGGCAGCTCTGTGGGTGACGGAGGTGCCCCCAGCCACCCCCGTCCTGTTCTCACCTGTGTCTGTCACCACCTCCTCCACGGAAGCCCTCCACTCGCTTCTGCTTCTTGCTGCCGACATGGTGGGCCTCCGTCCCGAGTCCGACTGGCCAGCCGTTCACAGACTGCTGTCCCACTCCCTGTTCTAGTCTGTCGGAAGGCAGCTCCACGCGGCCTCGCTTTGGGGATGGGCCCTGCACCTCCAGCGGCACGCCCCGCAGAGAGGACAGGCCGTCACTGTCTGTGTGCCTCCTCTTCTTCCGCTTCTTGATACGAGGAAGCAAGGCTGCATCCCCATTGTGCTGTGAGGCGCGCATCTCTGAACTCGGTTCCCTCTTCTCTGCCAAGCGGTGCTTCTTCCTCTTTCTAGGGATCCCCTGGGGGCCGTCGATGGCTTCCTGCAGCAGGTTTGGAGATGGTGCGGGGGACCCATTCACCTGAGGCTGGGGAGCCGGGGAGGAGGAGCAGTTCCGTGGTTCTGCCTTCCCGAGAGGCTGAGAGCTAGCGGGCAATGAAGGACACATGGAGAGGAAGCTGAGGGGAGGTCGTGGATGGCTGGATGGCGTGGGAACAGGTTGGACAGTCCTGAAAACAGAGACAGGTGTAAGCACAAGCCTGCAGGACCCTCCACCCCGCCCTCCCAGCCCAGGAGTCTGAAGGGATTTCTGGAAGCCCTCTGGTACGTTTGCAAAAATAGGTTGACGATAAAAGTTCCACGCCTACTTAAGACAGGACCCCTATCTGGGGTCACCCCCACCAGGACAAACGAGAGCACTGTGCCCCTCAAACAAATGCAGCAAGGGGAGAACATCACTGAGCAAGAAACAGTACGACGAGGAATCTGGGGGTGGGGAGGTGCACATGAAGATAAAGTCAGGGAGGTCAGGGCGCCGGGCGGGTCTCTGCACCCCCGAGGTACCCACTGATGGGGAGATCTGGAGAGCAGATCTGCATGATGGACTATCCCAGAAACGCAGAACACATACAGAGCCGTGTGAGGCCAGTGCCCTGAGCCCCCCACTAGTGCTCTGTGAGCGGGTCACAACACTGTCCACCTCATCCCGAAAGGGCCCCCGTCTGCAGGGAAATCAAGCAGGACGACCACCATCCTCCACAGAACAGACAACGTCCTTTGTGAAGGACCCACAAAAAGGTTACGTGATACAGGATCTAAGAAAACTACTTCAGACACCAAATCCCTCACTGATGTGGGGGTTTCTATGGGCAAAGGTGCCCTGGTGACGCTGTGGGCTAGGCACTAGGCTGCTAACCGAAAGGCTGGCAGTTCAAACCCACTGGCCGTTCCGTAAGAGAATGAAGAAAGTGTCGGCTCAGAAAGCCTGAAAGCCTTACAGGCCCATTATGAGTCAGACTGGACTTGCCAGCTGTGGGCTTGGTTTGTGCAAAGTGTTACGCTTGGTAAGTAAGAGAGCTCGTGTCAGGGGAGCTGGGTGCAGGAGACACACCACCAGCCAGGGCAGGCTTGGGGGGACTGGGGAGCCGGCACTGCAGCCAGGCAGAGCATACCCCATTCAGCCAGCCCCACCCACCTCCCTTCCTCCCCAGCAGTGAAAAGGTCTGATCACCCATCAGTCCACCCTCTGGGGAATGGTCATGCCATGTGTCCAGAGCAGTGCCTTGAGGGGGAGACCCAAGCCCCAGGAGGTGTGGCTCTGGGCAGGCCCCGCTCTCGAGGCCTGGTCCCCGGCAGGAGGACGGAGTCTAACCCCGGGAACACTGTTGGCAGACCCTGGGATTGTGTGGTTTGCTTTGCTGTACAATATGCCCTAAGATTGGGTGGGCAACCTCACAGGCCTGCTCCCGGCACAGCAGTGTGCCCGCTACTATCGACCACCATCAAGGCGGAGACCTATCGCCTCTGGGTGGTTTCACACCACCGACCTCCTTGTCAGCAGTCGTGTGCCTCCCAAGGACTCCAATATGGCAGACGGACCAAAGCTATCCCCAGGCCTCGGAGAGCAGCCGGAGCGCCGTCCCTGGGCCGGGCCCACCTGCACCTCGGCTTACCTGGTCTGACCAGCAGGCCCAGTGGCTTTCAGGGGGCGGGTGAGGTCGGAGGACGGTGGGAGGGGAGGTGGACGGAGGTCAGTGCTGGTCGCCCTCCGCAGGGGGTGAGCCTGCAGTTATTGACATAAATAAAAACTTGGTGGTCTGAAAAGGGTTTCCGTGATTGAAGCGGGAAAGTCAACGGAAAAGAAACCAAAGAGAAATGAAAATAACAAAACAACAAGAGCCCAGAAAGGAGAATGAGGGGAGACAGGGAGCCAACAAAGGGGGTGGGGAGGGGGAGGGGACGGTAGAAGAAGAATCAGAAAAGTGGTTTTGGTTAGAAACAAAAAGGAGAAAAGGAAGGAGATTCAAACAAAAACCCAGCGCCACAATTGCATCGCGGTGTTACTGCCACCGTACCACCTTTGGGTGCCCCAAGAAGCGTCTGTGTGTGCTCACACCATGGGGCACCCGTTGGCTGCCCACCCATCCCAGGCCTCGTTCCAGGAACGCAGGGCCCCTGACTCGCCTAACCATCATGCCTAGCTCTTTCGGAGTGTTTCATGAGAATCCCAATCTCATCCTAAGTTGTCATTAGCTCCCCAGGACACCCAAGTCCCCTACAGCCCTCCGCCCCAAGAACACTGGGATGGATGTGTCACCCTGACCCACCTTCTTGGCAGCAGATAGGGCCAGCTTTTTGGCAGGGGGGGGCGACATGGTGCTTGCGGGCTCCAAGGAGGCGTTGCTCAGGACGGGGGGCTTCGGCTTCCCCACCTTTGGAGAGTCTCCACTTGGCAGCACTTTGGGGGAGCCGCCGGCGCACGAGTTTGTTTCCTGAGGATCACAGACGCAGGCGGCTCCACTCTTGGGGGCCTGGGGCGTCTTGGTAGTGGTGCTCCCGGCAGAGTGCTCTGGGCTGGAGCCGCTGGAGTCCTGTTCCGAGAGCTCCGGGCTCTGGTCGCGCCCCTTTGGTGCCTGCCCGTTGACGATCACTTCGGCCAGGAGCTTTGGTGAGGTAGAGAGGACAGTGGCCCGGCTGTCAAAGCTGCCCAGCCGCCGGCCCTCAGATCTGCTGCTGCTCCAGTGGCCGACACCGTGGGGCCCCTGAGAGGTTTTGGGGGACAGGGAGGAGTGTGGCAGAGGGGTGCATTTCTTGGCCTTCTTTCCAGGCTCATCTAGAATGGTCGGCATGTGCACTGGTGTTTTGGACAGTTTGGGGGACGGGGTTCCCATGGGTGGCTTTGGAGAGACATTTCCATTCTGAGGTCTGAGGCCAGCTAGGGAGCCGTTCCGGGGAATGGGCACGCCGAGCTCCTCCGGGGTGTGTGGCTTCTTCACTGTCAAAGGGTCCTGTCGCTGGGGGAGAGCAGAGCAAGAGGCAGTCAGAACCCTGAGGGCGTGAGGGTCTGGCCAGGCTCTCAGGAGGCCACAGCACACCCGGCCACACAGCTCAGCTCTGGTTACCAGCCCAATGCAACCCCCACCCCACCACTGCCTGTCCACTGAAACCCAGAATGACCCTGCAGGGCAGAGAGAAGTGCTCCACAGGGCTTCTAAGACAGAAGCTTTCTCCCGCGGGGCGGCTGGTGGCTTTGAACCTCCCACGTTCCAGGACTCCTGGTGAGCAATCAGGATGAATTATTTCTGTGGACCTTGTTGCCGTCCGTTTCTTTGGACCTGGTTGGTAAGCTGAGAGTCCTGTGCACACGGCCAGCTTTACTAAGAAAACAGCCCATTCTCCCCGGGATTTGAAAACTCTCTCTGAGATAAAACAATGACCCTAGGTGCCCTCACCAACAGAACCATCATTGAATATCCTGGTGATTTTTCTTCCGTTTGGTCTTTTCTCAATGGTTTGACCCGCAAGTACACACCATGGCTTCCTGCCATTATCTGCAGCTGCTTGGCTGGTCCCTGTCCCTGGCATGGCTCCTTTACATAGTTCTACCAGGAGTCCTGGACTCTGGGGTGGCCATGTAGGGGCAGCCCTGGACTGTAAACCACAAGGTTGGCAGTTCAAACCCCCCAGCTGCTCCTTGGAAATCCTATACAGGGTCGCTATGAGTCAGAACTGGACGTCACAACAACGCATTTTGTGCAAAACTTTAAAAGTTTTAACTCAGCAGCTAAACCCACAATTTGCTCCCTCTGTTCCATCCAAGTCTTTCCCAGAGATTTCAAAGCACTGTTTTCTTCGGGATTTTTTTCTCCTTTTCCCTTCATGTTTCAATAGCTTATTAACATTTTGATAAAATGAATACACCTTTCCTTTGTCCAGCATTTACTATCCGGATGGTATGCAACTGTAGGCTAACTTCAGTGCCCTTGGGGACTATTTTGGGGATGGACATGTCTGCGGCATCAGGGAAGAGAGACTGGCTCCCAGGATGCCCTCTGTGGGTGTTCCACCATCTCGAGGCGTGAACCACACACACACAGTGTGGTGTTGAGAAGCTCGGGGGCAGCCTCCCTGCTCCACTGAGTATCAGTCATGCAATTTCATTCCTTCATCAACTCCAACACGTCATATTTCCCTGTACCTTTTTCAGTTCTTTCGTGGCTATATGTTGAGAACATACACTGATTCAACATTTCTACATGTCCAGTCCAGGGACGCTGACCACGCGCTTCCCGCGGTGCTGCCATTCTCATCCTCTTACTGACATTAACTCGCTGCCTCCAGACACCTGCCTAAGCTTGTGAATTGCTGCTGTCACGTTGCTCCCGTGGAGACAGATCATGGAGCGCACAACGCTTAAGGCGGACACATTTTACTTAAGCACAATTCTGGGTTTTGAGAAGACTTCAGGGGGATCATGTTGGTTTGTTGGTTTCAGATTTAAAGATGATCTCAGGGAATCCATGGCTCCAGACAGTCTGCGTTCCATGAGAATTTGAAATTCTGTTCTGCACCTTCCACATTTTGATCAGGATTCTTCTATGGACTCTGATCCAAATGCTGAGTGGTGGTAGCCTGCCACCTCAGCTTCGGTCCTCTTAACTGTTGTAAAGGAAAACCAGCTACTTCACTCGTGAGAACCTCCGTAAACTGTTAAAGGTCCTGGAGCCTCTCTTGAATACATAAAAATGGTGAAACTGAGTTTTGTTTAGTGGTGTCTATTTTTACAAGCACACACACACACTTTCCCTCCCAGATGCTGATGGTGAAGAGTCTGCTCGGTATGCCTGTCACTGAGCCTCCACGCGGGCAGTTCTCAGGCTGGGCTTGTGAAGGGACACATGTGGACATTACTCTTCTGGTTTGCTGGCTCACTTTCCTGGTAACTGTCCCGTCCTCTTCCTTCAGGCCCAGCATCAACTGATGACTACATCCCAAGAAACCACAAGAGAGCCAAGAAATGACAAATCTCTGCCAGCAAAGATCTGTGCCCACAAACATAAGCCGTGGCACCACACCACCCGAGACAAGTACCTTGCTGGTCAGTGGGGAAGAAGCCACCCCGTTGCTGATGCTCTTCTTGAGGTGGTCTGGGCGGCTGGGGACAATGGGGGTCGACCTGGAGATGGAGGCTTCCGGGCTCTTCTTGGAATTGGGAATCCTGGCAAAGGAAGCCACGAGTCAGGGAATGTGGCCCAGACAGAGCACGGAGGAGCGGGACAAGTTACATCCAGAAAGCCCCAAGGAACTGGGCGGCCCAGCAGGTGTCTCCCGAGTCTCACCTCAACCAGCGCTTGTCACACTGAGTGCGTTCTTCTGGACTCCCCCAAAGTCAGAGAACCTTCTCACCCAAACCCAGCAGGAATTCAGAAAATAGCAAAAAAAAAAAAAAAAGCCTCCCATCTTCTAAGGTCCACCTGGCCCACCCAGGACCACCTGAGACCCCGGTCGGCAGTCACTGTGGCTGGCCTTCCCCGAGGCTCTCAGGCAGAGTGGTCGGTGAGGGATCCCGGATCCCCTGCCTGAAAGCTTCCCAATCATTCCCCAACAGGAGGTGCGCAAGAGCACCAAGAGTGCGAGACAAGCCCACCCCAGGAAGGAGCGCTCTGTGGCGGTGGGCAGGTCATTACCGTAGGTAGAAGAGCACGTAGGCTTGCTGGTTCAGGACCACCTTGATGTTGCTGGAGTGGACCAGGGAGTCGTTCATCTGGTACCACTGCCCACTGCTTGCCTGAAGGACAAACACAGGATGTTGCAGGGGAAAGAAGCAAGTGACCCTCAGACCAGCATCACAGACCTGCGGCTACTCCCCGTGCAGCATCTCAGTGCTCATGATCAAGTCACGGGTTTGCTTCCCAACGCCTCGTGCTGGTGCAACCCCAAAGGTGGCTTCAGTCCCCCTTAGCGCCCCAGGATGTGAATTTCTACAGGACTCTGCTCTCCCCAACTTCCCCACCAAGACTTCCCCAGGGGTTTGGGACAAAGTGCTGAAGCGGCCCTCGCTCGGACTGCAGATTCGAGCACAGTGGTTTGGAAGAGTTCTTTTCACTGGCACAGTGGCTCCTCCAGTGGCTCCCAGACCGACGCAGAGCCTCAGAGACCCCCGGAGCAGTCCTACTCATCCTACAGGGTGGCTGTGAGTGGGAGTGGGCTTGGTTTCCTGCAGGCACCGAGGCGACCCTGGGAACTGAACGGTCTTACAGAACAGAGCCAGCTTCCCACATAAACGGCCCGTCCACACTGTGGGACAGAGTGTGACACAGCTGCTGCCACCATACATGACCGGAACTGATGACCGGCAACTGACCTTCACGTAGCAGTAGTAGTGCCCAGCGTGGCAGCTGTAGCCCGAGTGGACCAGCACGGCGTAGAGTCCATACATGACGGGGTCACCGCTGCTCTGTGACATGTATGGGCGGATGTTGAGGAACTCTGGATAACCCACGTCCTGTGTGAAGAGGGACAGGCACTGCAGCTCCCAGGCACCAGCGAGGGCCAACCTGCCCCAGGCACCCACAGCTACACAGGCTGGGTTTCTCGGACCTCCTGGAGTCTGAGGCTTCGGGGGGCCTGCTGGGGCTCACGATTCAGGCAGAGGGGAAACAGGTCTGTTCCAAGTGCCCTTCTGGACACTTGATCTCACTGGAGTGGTATCCAGGTTAGCGCTGACTACCTGGTTCTCAGTGCAAAACAGGCACAACTCAGTCCCTCCCTGTGTGAGCATGGAGGGGAGAGGAGGGAAGGAAGCTGGCTTTGGGGACACAACCCGAGGACTGTCTCAGAGCAAAGGTCATTCCAGGGTTGATTACGGAAGGTGACCTTTGTTGGTGGGAAAAGACATTTGAAAATAGGATCTTAACATGCCCACACACAGGTCTTTGCTTACTGAGGTGCGGCTGGCATGGAGCAAACCACACAGCCCAACACTGACTGTATTTATTACTGCCTATTTAGCGTGTTTCAGAACTTTGTCTATTACCGGGCATGATAATGGTGGAAAAATTTATCTGTTTTTAATTAAAAAAAGAATACTGTGAATTGAAGGTTTACAGAGCAGATCATCAGTTTTGCATCCAACAAATCATCTGCTTTGTTTCACCTCAAGACAGCAAGCCCTGTCTCAAGACCCACCCCCCATGGAACACCCCTTCGCCCTCCCCCGCCCTCTGGCCTCTGACCTGGGATAAAGGAATACTGGCCTGCTTGACAGTAAACATGCCTCCTTAGTGCTGCTGCTCCCCCCTCACCCCCACATAACTCCCTATCGCTTGGCTGGAGACTGAGCCCCAAGGGAGGGGGAGTTCACTGGGCGGCCAAGGGCCACCATTTCACGTTCCTCTAGTTTCTTTGTGACCAGCGAGCTTTGTCTTTTGTTATTGTTCTGAGTTCTGGTCCACATCCTCTCCCAGTGTGTCCAGGCCTCTCGAACGCCATGCCTGTCAGAGCAGTTCGTAGTGATAGCTGGGCCCTATCTGGTTCTTTTGGTCTCAGGGTCATGGAGACTGGTGTCCACGTTGTCCATCAGCCCCCTGGACTGTTTCCAGGGACTTCAGTTTCCACCACTCCTTCCTCCGCACAGGGAAAGCCTGATAGTTGGCCGTTAGGCGGTTGCTCCCGAGCTTTTAAGATCCACCCCACCAAAGCAGACTGCAGAGCACTGTCACTGTGGACCACTGCACGCCGACGGACCCTGGTGTTCCCTGAGACTACGGTCCTGAGACCCCAAGCCCAGGACTAAGAAGTTTCCAGAACGTTCCCTGTTGGCTCCACCACATCCATGGATGTGTTTGCAGCAAAGATAAACTACCTTGCACCCTTATATGTTTGTGGGTGTTCTCCCTCCCACACCCATGGACCACCATTCTTATATGGACATCACAGCATTTGCCTCTGTTGTCGTTAACTGTCACACTCCCTGCCCTTGTCTTCCCACGCTCCTATGATTAATAGTTTCATTTTGTTTCCCCACAAACTCTTTGAAGACCCCTCACAGGAAGTTACTTGTGTCTGACACAAGTGGGACTTACTTACATGTCTTTGCTTTCTAAGGACAAACTAAAACCCCCAAAAGTCATGAGTTCCCATCCAACCCCCAAAATCAAATGGAGTTATGTTCCTCAAACTGCGTTCATGGGAACACCCATCCGAGGTGTCAGAAGTGAAACGGAAACCCTCAGGGTAAAGTGACATGGTCTCAGTCACGTTGGTCCAAGTAACCATCACAAAAAATGGCACCTTGACAGACAGTAGCAGTGACGAATGAATAACGCCTCAGACAATTAGGTTAGAGAGGTTTCTGTACCCAATCCCTTTCTTAGAGATCCAAAATATAAGATGATTAATAAAGACTCTGAGAAGGCCCATTGTTTCAAACTAAATAAATAAAAGAATAAAAACTTTCTCTTGGCATTTCCCAAACGTGGCACGTTTCTTCAAAGTTTTTGATTAACGCACTACAGAAATCAGTTTGGGGGACTCTGATCTAAATGAGCCAGTGAGGAAACTGAGGCTCGGAGACTGGACCCAAAGCATGTAGCTAACAGCGGAGAAGGCTGCCCTAGGCTCTCATGGGGACAGACACCCGGTAAAGTGCTCGGACTCCAGGTCCCACAAAAGCCGCGCAGCCAAACATATTCATTTCATGCACCAGTGGACATGGCAGGTGGACAGCTAGAGGCCACTGTCCAGCACTCCTTCTGGAGCACGAAGAAGGAGACCAGGGAACGAGGATCCAGTCAGCCCGACCTGGTCAATGGGACTGTGCATTACAATCATTCAGGGGGTTGCCCCTGGGCAAAAGCAGACTGCTGGGCCTGGCCTTCAGAAGCGCTCATTCCTGGCTCTGGAAGCAGGTGTTTCGACAGCACTGGGAGATGGACACTCACCTTGGTGATCTTACCCCCGCTGAAGTTGGCAAAACGCTTGAGGGACAGGGTCAGGACACTGGACGCTCGGTGGATGGAGAAGCGCTTGCTGGCTGGAACTTTCTTCTTGCATCTGCGAGAGTGGTGAGAGCAAACAGCCTAAAGTCACCTGTCACCCCAACACAGAGACGAGGAGACGCAGGGTGGGGGAGGACAAAGCACCACAGATGGAACAACCAGAATACAGCGAGGAGTATGCTGGCGCGAGGGAAAACGTCACTGAGTGACCATGGAAAAGAAACTGCCACACGGGAACCTTATTTACAGCATCAACTTTCAAAAGAAAACACCTGCTGCCTGCATGTGCCCCGCAGACACAGCCACCAGGACCACATGGGGAACAGCCGCTCAGGGGGACAGACATCAGGAGGGGCCTCCTGGAGCAAGCCCACCGCAGCGACTGTCAGGGGAGACACGGGCAGGGTTCTCACCCAGTGACCACAGGGCGTATCAGGTGAGAGACCCTCCAGCTGCTTACCTGGAGCACATGTAGGCATTCTCTCCGCTCAGGACGTCGGGCTTCACAAAGAGCTCCAGCGCTCGCACAATGTTGGCAGCTTGCTGAGAGGGGCAGAGAACAGACAGCACAGGAAACAGGCGGACTCAAGAAATGCAAGAAATCCAAGGCCTCTTCAGGCCGAGGCAGCAAATCTCAAAACTCCGCCTGCACAGAACTGCCATCCTGTAAGGCTGGGGCTGAGCATGAGGAAGAAAAAAGGCCATGGGGCTGTCCCCCAAACTGACAAGAGACTACAGTTGAGACTTCCCACGTGACAGACCACCCAGGGGACCCCACCAGATTGCGGCAGCGTCTGAGACACTAAGATTCTGCCTGGGCATCCAGCCCCCACCAACCCAGCCCCTCTGCCTTTGATGAGTCGATTATGACTCGTAGCGACCCTGGAGGACAGAGGGGGACCACCCACAGGGTTTCCAGGTTGCTCCTTCTTTCTCTCATGGAGCGACTAGTGGGTTTGAACCACTGACTTTTCTGTTAGCGGCCAGTGCTTAACTTAGCCCACGGTCAGCCCCACCTCCACCTCCACAAGTACAGTGTGAGCAACATTTCTGCTTCAGGACACAGAACTGCATGCCCCCCTCCCCCCTTATTTAAAAAAACCACAACAAAAGGATTCCGTCTAAGGCAAAAAGCTAGAGAGAAACAGGCACATGACCCTTCCTACTTGTCCTAAGTCAGTTTTCCCAGTCTGCATCACAAGTTGGTGGTTCAAACCCACCAACTGCTCCCTGGAAACCCTATGCAGGGCTCTCTGAGTCGGACTCAGTGCCGTCAGTGTGCTTTGTCTGCCCCCTCTCTTGATCCACAGTGCCCATACCCGGATCTCCAGTGCGATGTCCAGGTAGGGGTCGTAGGTGTCTGAGACGCTCTTGCAAACGGAACACTTGACTGGAACAGAACGTGAGGTGGTGAGCAGAGGTGCCCAGACTCTCGGATGTTCCCAGCCCTGCAGACCCAGAGAGGCCCCATGGTCCCTCCACCAAAGTATTTTTCGCTCAGCATCCCAGACCTTCCGGAGAGGGAGCGTTAACGCCCCACTTACCACGGGATCGGAGGTAGCCCCCGAAGATCTGGTGGACCAAAGTGGTGGCCTGCGTCTGACGGTCCAACCTATGGAGGAGGTTAGTCCCTTCAAGGGGACGACGTGGCCAGCAGTGCCCATACGCCAGCTTCCCGCTCAGCATGAGGCTGGGAAGTAGCCTTACATGCCACATGTCCCATCCTTGGGGTCCTGCATGGCTCTCACACACCAGCCCCCATTACAGCCCGCTCCCCAGGAGGTAGTTTCATGTCCCAAGAAACACACCTGGTTCTCACCTAGGGGGGTGATGGGGGGGGGCAAGCAAGACCAATCCCTCCCCTTTTTATAGCCAGTGTGGTCATAGGTGGGCTTCAGGGTTGGGCAGACCCTGTCACTGCCCACTACCTGGGATCAGAAATAAGTCTACTGGTGGTGGAGGGCTCAGACAGCTACAGAGCATGTGGCAGCCACCTCAGGTAGCCCTTCCCTCTCCCTGAAGATTGTGAGACAACAGGCTACAGCTAGTCTCCCAACTTGCCTCTAACACTGCCCCCTCTGAGGCACCAACCATCGCCAGGATGCAGACCTGGTGGAGAGTGTGCCCCCTCCCTGACATGCGCGTCCTGTCTACCTGGGGTCCCCACAGGGCCAAACTGAGTGTCCTGGGAATGACTGTGGGGGCACACCATTGAGGTGGTAGTCTCTGATGGCACAGTGTCGGAAGAGGGCAGTAAGAAAACCAGGTACTGAAGGGTACTTGAAGGACAAGCAATGCAGAGGGAAAATAGAGGGCCCTGAGAAGACATGAAAACTCAGACATTCCACCAGACCTCTGCAAAGAGAAAGTCACTCATCAAGGAAGATGCACTTTCCTGTGCAGATAGCAGGTTAGCTGTGGGACAGATGGAAGCTGTGTTTCTCTGTGCGGACAGCAGGGGCACTGTGGGACAGATGGAAGCTGTGTTTCTCTGTGCAGACAGCAGGGGCACTGTGGGACAGATGGAAGCTGTGTTTCTCTGTGC